TGGTTAGCTACACTGAGTGATATGGCTGGGTGTCGCAAACAGTGGCGCTCGTGCATCCACTCGTTATTTGCCCAACACCACTCTATATGAATTCTCTATCTTCCGCTTGAATTTTCTCCGACATTCCAATCTTCATTTCGCTCTTTTATCCAAATATGGCACCAAAAGACCAACCAAAACCGGCGCGCGAAAGTGCATGGTTAATGGTTATAACAACTGAACTGAACTGAAGTTGGTCGGTAGCTTGGTTGATTCTGACCTTATCCATTCTATTTAAATCCGAATCTCTCTCAGCGGTTTATACTTTATTCGCTTTGAGGAGTACTGCCATGTAAGTTCACCGGGGAAAAAAATTCGTTACTTTTCTGTGTGTTGAGTTGGGATGTGAGGTAGCAAGTTGAATTATATGATTGTTGGTTGTTTGAATTGAAATATGCTATACTCCCCCAATGCGCTCGACACCAGGTGTATATTTTCGCACTGGGAATTAAATGTTGGATTTGCGGTTAGCGTTACCCGGGTTTATCTCACAGAGCCTAACGATCAGACGCTAGGATCTTTAGGTAGCTGTACGTGTAGTCTAAAGTCTTCCAGACTTTACGAAAGCGGCTGACTTCTATCTTGAGTTCGCTTTTTCCGAATTCTCGAAATCTGAGTTACAGCCATAACGAAACACACGAATAACAATCCACAAAAAAACACCTTGTGATCAGTTATTTTTCTGTGGTAAGTCTTGGTGCGAACGCATGAGTTATGCAGCTCACATACGCTTTGGCTGAATGTTTATCTTTCAGTAGGCTCAGTGTATCTCAATATCAAGGCAACCTTGGTCGTATCTGACTCCAGTTCCTGCACGCGTTCCAGTATCATAATCATTTGTGTCTGGAAGTCGAGTCTTGAGAATCTTCCTTCTGTTTATTATCTGTTGGTAGCTGATTAACATGACTGCAGCCCAAAACGTTGGGTTGTTATTTACTTATTTTAATCATTTCCCCCCTTCTTCTTGCCTTCGAGTTTGTTTCTGATTTGCTGCGCTGTGACAGCCAGCCAGAGTGTGATTTGTAGTTCAGTGTAAATTAAAACAAAACCAACGCATTTTTAAAAATAACTTTTACTATATTTCACTACCAAATTTTCCTTGAAATATCTGGTACTTTAGGCGCAGGCTGCCCACATCTATGATGATGATGTTTCGGGAGATAAAGCTCTAGGCTACCAGCCGGTAGACGTTCACGTTCCATATCGAAACGGTTACCTTCATCCGGATAAGAATGAGGTTTCAAAATCCACCGAGCAACCACGATCCGATGCGATGATCAATGGACAGCAGGAGACCGTCAAACCGAAGACCTCTTTTCAGACGCACACACGCCAGCTTAGTGTACCCGAAGGGCTAAGCACAACTCATGCCGATGTGAGTCAGAGCTACATTTAAACTGTTCCGTGCGTTTGTGTGCTTACTGTATCGTGTAAATCAAATACGGTTGCACTTGGGTTTCAGCAACGTGCCCGCACCTCTGCTTCCTCAATCACCTTGACCCAGTATTGTGTCGCTTTTTGCCAGGCGTTTCTGAGAAGACCGACCGCTCCGATTTCGATGTTCGGTGAAGCTAAGGGTTTTGAAATTACATGAAATTTTGGTATAAAAATAACCAAACATGCTCCCTAGGGATCGTTTTTACTCGCCTCAGTGTTTCAGTGGCTATCACAGTGTTTCTCCACAATTTTTACAAAGTTGGTTGGACAAGGATATCTGCATCAACTATGTGAAGTCAAAGATTGTCGACCATATACAGTACACGAAACGTTAATCGCGTTCTGTTTTTCCGCCTTGTCTCGCTAACAAACCGGATTGACCAGTTTGAATGTGGCGATGTAACTGGTTACCTGATTAAAACCCTACTAAACTTATTTATCCTGCTAACTGTGTCTCTATGGTCGCGAAACGCTATTCATCTCATTCTGAGCGCTGTCTTCAAAGTGCACTCCACAACTTCCCATATAAGTTGTATGAGTCGTTCTCGCATCAGATGTGTTAGGTGATATCCAGTTATGCACTGTTGATCCATATTGAAGTCACTCAGAAAGTGGACGACAATCATCAGAGTTCTGTATCGTGGTTCAGTTCATGGACCCATTTGTCGAAACAGAAGAATGATCGCGATTCAAGGCTCTTAGAGCTGGCACAAATGATAATCACAATAAAAAATCTGGGCACCAGTATCCACCAGATTACTGGCAAAATTCCCCCAGCACCACTGGTTTGTATCTATTTGACCGACCTGTATGAATATAACTCGAAGATTCAAGGGGAAGATAAATGAAAGATCTTTGATCAAGGCGTGAGACAGTTTTTACTTGTTGTGTTGAATCGGATAATTAGTGCTTGGAGACTACACTTGGGTGTGAGTGTGAGACGCGCATAGCAGCTGAATGAATTACAGTTTCTGATGCCTCCCCATCTCTGAATCGGGAGCCTTCCACCCCGAAGACTCTCATACATGAGTCGACAAGATGGTTTTGTGCATACAATAGACCCTCTGGAAATCGATGTCTGCTTTGTATCGGCGGTTCTTAGAAGGATAAACCGATCAAATGCCTCAGGTTTTTCTTACTCTCAGCACATAAGAAAATGAAACCCGTTCAGCACAGAGTAGGTGTCGTGCTGAACGACAAGGCTGAAGCCTCACTAGTTGATTCTATTCTTATCAACAGTCATTTGTGCGTCTCCAGGTTTCATTTAGTGTTCGAATGGAAGCAACATTAAATGAAGTTTGTTCATCATCTTATCACATATNGACCAGGTTGATTCCTGGTTCCTGGACAAAATTAACCCCGCTTGCTGGAGTCATCCGACTGAAGCGGAGCTCCCTTACGGTTGTACTAGTTTTCGATTTTAACGCATAGCATAGAAAAGATGTCTAGGAGGTCCCCACACCTTCACTCCCCTGCGATCTGACTGCGAAGATCAGATTCTTCAGTTCTACACGGATCACCCTCCGCTCCTGTCCAGTATCAGCTTCAAACACAGCTCTTGAAGGACAGAAATGTGAAGCTCCAGTTCAACGCGTAAGCTAACCCTAATTAACTGCATAGCAGTAAACCGACGGTGTTGTGACTTAGTTCGAAGTCGCAGTTGATGCTGATACATCTGCATTGCGCTTCGACTCACCGGTCACCGTCAAAAGCCACTAACTCGACCCCTCTACGTCTGTCCGTTCCAGTTGCTCGTGATCGGCACGAGATAGAGCTAAGGCATCAGCAAGGAGTTCTGCAATTAGACAGAAAAGATAACCGATAGGTTCCGATTAGATGTGCCATACATTCTTGAGCGAGCGTCGCCTGTGGATCCGAGCCCTAAACCTACCCTACACATTGCATACTTCTTAAATCAATAACTCCTATGGGGGAAAAGCGACAATTTTCAGCCAGTCAGGTTCAAAAATAACAGACGATATTCAAATCGTCAACTAACGAAAAGCCTCAAAGAGACCGGTAAAAACTGATGAACCTAAATTATTAGTGAAATGGGGGTAGCCGCTACTAGATAGCCTAAGGCTGTTCCAGCATAGACACCAGTGGTCGGCGAATGTCGTTCAGCTAACCAGTGTGCGATACTATAAAAGGCCATTCACAGGGGATAATCACTTGATCGCTGGGTAGATAACTTTGAAGGACTATTCAGTTAACGTAGTGCTGGCCTGGTTTCTCCGGCGAATGCTTCATAGGCGATGTTTCGTGAATCGCCAAAGAAACTAAGAGTGTGGATTCGTATTCCGGATGTGAATAGATGAAAAGCAGTCCGTCCTGACTAGCTTCTTTCCATTCTTTCCATATTATTGATCAAAGAGGTTCACTTTATTTTCCCTATAGACATTAACATTCCATTTTAATCATTCACTCTTCCCGTGCATTGTGAGCTTGATTACGATTAACGAAGTTTGCTTGTGTTGCACTATGCCATGATGATGAGGTTGATGTCTACTTCTTTTCTCAATTGTTTTGGGGTTTGAATATGTTTCGACAATTAATTCATTCCCTGCTGCGGTCGATCGGTGCTAAGCAAACTGAACTTGTTATTCATGAAAATGTTGGTGGTTAATGGCAAAAATTATTACAGAAAGGAATTTTTTTCACACACAAAGTCTTTTGCTTTCTTTCATGTTTTAACTATTCTGGCCAGTTTTTCGTTGCGGAATCCGTCTCCTGTTTGTTCAAACTGGCATCTGATATCCACAGTCAAGCAGTTCCATATTCAATATTTACCGACGTAGTCATACGATACCGATTATCATTTCGGAATTCCATCCAGATGCTTCACCTTAAAAGTAATGGAGGATTTGATTTGACTATTCGGTGAATTTTGATGTGTACAGAGCAAACAAAGCATGAAGTGATCAACGGTGAAGTACTGGACCAAGTTGCTCTAATTGGGTCTCATCAGCAGTACGAATCCATCTGCCCAATTGCGGATAGAACCTGGTACCTCGCAGGTAGAACGCAAACATACTACCCACTCGGCCATCAGGCAGCTGATCAGACCGTTCTTCATTTTGCCTAGAGGCGATACAGCATAACCTATCTTTGCCATCCTAATGCGGGCGTCACACATCGTGCATCTCCGTATTAGCTTCCCCGCTGGGTCCCTGGTGATCAAGTGGATAGTGTGTTTGGGTTCTACCTGCGAGGTACCGGGTTCGCTCCCCAATCGGGTCAATGTATTCGCGCTGCCTATGAAACCCAACCAGGTTAAAAACTGTCCACTGTTTCCTAGCTTTTGAGTTCATGCTTTGTACACGACGAACTTTACGGTATGATCACTTCTCGTTCAACCGAGTTTTGTTTGTTATCGTAACCGAATCAGATTCCCTTGTCGTATTCATTGTTTGCTCTTCCCATCCCCCATATGTTATCCTAAAGCCGATATCACACACTGACAGTCAATTCTGTAACCGACCTCCGGAGCGTCCCATGGACAACACTCGATGTGTGGACTACCTAAAATGTATGTTCTTTAGAATGGTATTTATTTATTCAGTGGAATGCGTTGTTGCAGTGAGAAAAAAAGATGCAACATAACCCAGGGCATGATGATAATATTTTGTTTACATACTCCAGACATTTAGTCAGCATGTTTTACGTAATTCTGTGAGCCAACATCAACATCATTATTGTATAGCGTAATACAGTGAAACAAACTTCCCTGGTTTCTGCCAAACTCATGTTGCATACAAGTGAAAATGTGTAAGGAGGATAGGGATTGGACTTACTTTTAGGGACGGGAAAAGAAAGCGCACCTCTATGGTCGGCACACAGAATACACAGTCCAGTTGTGCATAAATGCTATTTCAAGCATTCTGGTCTGATAAGAAGTGACAGCAAGATCGCCATTGCTGTCGGTTGGCAGCCATAACCTTCAGTGTCTCCAACCATGCGGTTTCGGAGTATTTGGGACCCCAACCCGGTAGACGGAAGACACCTCCTCTACCTAATCGCTCTGTGTATTTCTTCATGCCTCGTTTTCACGCCATCTGCTGGCCTCCATGTGGCTTCCTCCAACCTGCAACAGCTACTGCGAATAAAGTGCACTGCGGTAGGCGACCGTCGGGCATACGCAAAACGTGTCCTATCAAACGAAGCCTATTGAGCTGGATTCTATGCGATAGCGAGTCCTTCTTTGATACATTCCCAAACACCCGACGAATTACTTCTAAGCTACTAACCCGCTCACTGCATCCCACTTGGACCAGACCACGTAAGCATCCATTGTAGAAAACCACTAGGCGACGACTGTCTTCTACCCGCAAATTCGAGGTCTCGAAACCGTAAAGCAAAGCTGATCGAACAGTGGTGCAGTATACACGACTTTTCAACTTCATTGAAACGTCACATCGCCGCCACAGGTGCTAAAGTCCTGCATACGCTGCTCTAGCCTTGTAAATGCGGGAGGTTACCTTCTTTGATGCGCTACCTTCGTTGGTCACGCAGCTACCTAAGTACGAAATTGCTTGGTCACGTGTTGCGTTTGCCTGCCCATGGACTACTTTTCTGCGCTCTCTTCGCACGGGCCGGGAAAAGTGCCGCGGCGGTCATACCATGACATGGCGTAGAAGTATGAAGAAGCTGACTTCAGCTTTGGCTTCGGTTGGGGCTCAAGGGATGAGGATTGTCGTTGGTTAGAGACGCTAAGAGATATAGCCCAGAATACCGTTTCTGTCAAGCACGAACTTCTCTCACAAAAAACGGCACCGCCTTACATGGAAACCGCCAACTTCTTCACAGCGCTGGACTCAAATCGACCACATCGCCATCAGCCACCGCTGGAGAGGATCCATTAAAGACTGCCGCTCCTACTGGTCAACACCCTTGGACACGGACCATGCTCTGCTACGAGCGAGATTTTCCCTATGCCTGATAAACAACCGCAGAAAAGCC